TCTTCCAATCCATGAGCACAGAATGTTTTTCCATTTCTTTATATCTTCTTCAACTTCCTTCATAAGCTTTCTATAGTTTTCAGCATACAGATCTTTTACATCTTTGGTTAGATTTATTCCTAGGTATTTTATGCTTCTTGGTGCAATTGTGAATGGGATCAGTTTCCTTGTCTTTCTGTTGCTTCATTATTAGTGTATAAGAATGCAACTGATTTCTGTACATTGATTTTGTATCCAGCAACTTTGCTAAATTCATGTATCAGTTCTAGCAGACTTCTGGTGGAGTCTATCAGATTTTCCATGTATAATATCATGTCATCTGCAAAAAGTGAAAACTTAACTTCATCTTTGCCAATTTTGATGCCTTTGATTTCCTTTTGTTGTCTGATTGCTGATGCTAGAACTTACAACACTCTGTTAAACAACAGCGGTGAGAGTGTACATCCCTGTCGTGTTCCTGATCTCAGGGGGAAAGCTCTCAGTTTTTCCCCATTGAGGATGATGTTAGCTGTGGGCTTTTCATAAATGGTTTTTATGATCTTTAAGTATGTTCCTTCTATCCCGACTTTCTCGAGGGTTTTTATTAAGAAAGGGTGCTGAATTTTGTCAAAGGCCTTTTCTATATCAATTGACAGGATCATATTGTTCTTATCTTTTCTTTTATTAATGTGATGTATCATGTTGATTGATTTGTGAATGTTGAACCAGCCCTGCAGCCCAGGAATGAATTTTGCTTGACCATGGTGAATAATTCTTTTTATATGCTGTTGAATTCTATTTGCTAGTATCTTATTGAGAATTTTTGCATCCATATTCATCAGGGATATTGGCCTGTAGTTCTCTTTTTTTACTGGGTCTCTGGTTTAGGAATCAAAGTAATACTGTCTTCATAGAATGAGTCTGGAAGTTTTCCCTCCCTTTCTATTTTTTGGAATAGCTTGAGAAGGATAGGTATTATCTCTGCTTTAAACGTCTGGTAGAACTCCCCTGGGAAGCCATCTGGTCCTGGACTCTTATTTGTTGGGAGATTTTTGATGAGTGATTCAGTTTCTTCGCTGGTTATGGGTCTGTTCAAGCTTTCTATTTCCTCCTGATTGAGTTTTGGAAGCGTGTGGGTGTTTAGGAATTTGTCCATTTCTTCCAGGTTGTCCAGTTTGTTGGCATATAATTTTTCATAATATTCCCTGATAATTGCTTGTATCTCTGAGGGATTGGTTGTAATAATTCCATTTTCATTCATTATTTTATAATGTTTATTTATTTTTGAGAGAGACAGAGACAAAATGCAAGTGGGTTAGGGACAGAGAGAGAGGGAGACACAGAATCCGAAGCAGGCTCCAGGCTCCAAGCTGTCAGCGCAGAGCCCGACTCGGCGCTTGAACTCATGAGCTGTGAGCTCATGACCTGAGCCGAAGTCGGACACTTGAGCCACCCAGGCGCCCCTCTGAGCACAATGTTTTTAAGGTTCATTTGTGTAGTGGCATGTTATTCTTTTTTGTGGCTGAACAATATTCCCTGGTATGGTTAACAGCTAAATTCTATGCAGTGGATAATGAGCCAGACCCACAAAATTCCCCCGAGGTGATTTCCAAAAGCATAATATTGAGAACAATTAAGTCACAGAATTATAATATACAACATGATTCCGTATATTTGTATATATACTAATAACACAGAGAATCTTGCCCTATATTGAATATTAGTAGATGTCTGTGTAGTGAAAGTGAAAAAATGCATAAGAATAACATACAGCAGGGGCATCTGGGTGGCTCAGTCGGTCAAGCGTCTGACTTCAGCTCAGGTCATGATCTCACGGTTCGTGGTTGATTCAAGCCCCACATCAGGCTCTGTGCTGACAGCTCAGAGCCTGGAGCCTGCTTCCGATTCTGTGTCTCCCTCTTTGCCCCTCCCCCACTAATGCTCTGTCTCTCTCTGTCCCTCAAAAAAGGAATAAAGATTAAAAAAAGATTTTTTTAATTAAAAAAATAATAACAGGGGCGCCTGGGTGGCTCAGTCAGTTAAGTGTCCGACTTCGGCTCAGGTCATGATCTCGCAGTCTGTGAGTTCGAGCCCCACGTCGGACTCTGTGCTGACAGCTCAGAGCCTGGAGCCCATTTCCGATTCTGTGTCTCCCTCTCTCTCTGCCCCTCCCCCATTCATGCTCTGTCTCTCTCTGTCTCAAAAATAAATAAACATTAAAGAAAAAAATTAAAAAATAATAATAACATATAGCAGCTTGGATAATGTTCACCTCTGGGGAGAGAGGAAGGACAAGAGATTGGATATGGTAGTGGTGAAACACAGCAAAATGTTAATGTCTAGAAAGTAAGGTCAGTGTGCCTGTTTCCATTTATACTGTTTGGTGTTTTCCATTATGGTTGAATCACTTCATAATTAAAAACCTAACCTAGAAAGAGAAGAGTTACCCTGTATATGCTTGTGAGCTAAGAATATTTACATGTGCATCCTTAATGCTTACACTGTGGTTCATTCACATATTAAACAGTGACTTCCAAACCTGATTGGCTGACATAACTTTGGAATCAGAGCTCGTGTATTTGTGTTGATACATAACTGGCCATTCGGGGTCATTGTCACACAAAAAAGCCCACCCTCAGAAAAATCCTTACAATGACATAATACGTAAATTAATGAAGTTATGGGTGCCCAATAACAACACCAACATATACTTGGCAAGTCTAGCTTCGTCGTATCCTTCGATTTCAAAGAAATAATGTAGATAGAAACACGATGGCACTGAGAAAACTCTCCCATTCACATCAGAAAGGAAACTGGTCTTAACTTTAAGACTGGATGGCTCTGCCCAGCACAGCTTGGAAGGATCATGAACCAAATACGTTTAGTGACTTACTCCGGTGCATGCGACTTAGGGTTGTGTTTGATAGGTCGCAGTTGGGTGTCTACATTTGTGGCTTGTATCTTGTGCTCCTTTTCAAAATCCCTTGGTGTATGGGATGCCTCACCCAACAGCAATCAATGGAGTTTTCTGGGGGAACAGTTTTCTATGCTTTCAAAATCCCTTGGTCTATGGGATGCCTCACCCAACAGCAATCAATGGAGTTTTCTGGGGGAACAGTTTTCTATGCCTCACCCAACAGCAATCAATGGAGTTTTCTGGGGGAACAGTTTTCTATGCTTTCAAAATCCCTTGGTCTATGGGATGCCTCACCCAACAGCAATCAATGGAGTTTTCTGGGGGAACAGTTTTCTATGTATGGGGTGCCATCTAGAATTCCCTAAGTGGGTATCCTGGTACTACCAGCCCATACACATGGTATGTGTTCTTAGCCTATGTTTTAAGCCAAACCGTACTAAAGTCACACTCCAAATTTTGGGGAAATCCAGCCAGTAATTCTTGAGAGGTGTGGAAGCAAAAAAAGCAGAAACTTCATTTTATTACTATGGATTACGAGCCAAGGACACACAGTGACCTGGCTTCCATGTGTTTGGTCACCTCCACCATCTTAAATCACGTTCTCCTCCTTCGAGGGATCCTACAGCACTGTCCGTTCACAGGATCCTGGGGGCTCCTTGGCGGGGGACAGAAGCCGCTGCCAGTGGTGCCTTGGGGTTTCGATCAGCATAGCTCACTCCCTGGGGGTCTTTCAGCCTTTGGGGAAAAGAGATGGGCATTTAGAGCTTAGCTGTTTGTATGGTACCTACAAGCCACATATGGCTATTTACATTTAAGTGAATTAAAGTTAAATCGAACTCAAAACTCAGGTCCTCAGTCACACCAGATGCATCTCAAATGTGCACAAGCCACATGCAGCCAGTGGCTGCTGTATGAGCACAGCTTTGGGACACTTCCATCATGGCGGGAAGTCCTACTGGACAGAGCCATTCTAGGAATGGCCATGTTTCACGGACGATGAGGGTTTTGACTCTGGTTTTAATGAAATGATGCTAATGAGTATAACTGGGACTAATAACAGTCATTGCAAATGTATGGTTTTGAGAATAAGAACTACTATCCTTCAAGAATTCCTACTGGTTATGTAATATTACACTGTTTTTAAAACCGTGTTATTGGGGCGCCTGGGTGGCTCAGTCGGTTAGGCGACCGACTTCGGCTCAGGTCATGATCTCACGGTCCTTGAGTTCGAGCCCCACGTCGGGCTCTGTGCTGACAGCTCAGAGCCTGGAGCCTGTTTCAGATTCTGTGTCTCCCTCTCTCTCTGCCCCTCCCCCGTTCATGCTTTGTCTCTCTCTGTCTCAAAAATAAATAAACGTTAAAAAAAATTAAAAAAACAGTGTTATTAAGATGTAATTTATGTACCATGTGTGCAATTTGATGACATTTAGTGAATCGGTACAATGATGTGGCTGGCCATCGCCACAATAAGTTTTAGGACATTCGTCACCCAAAAAAGTTCCCTCGTGCCTATGTGCAGTTACACCTGCTCTCCCCACCCCAGCCATAGGCCACCACTGATGTGCTTTTTTCTGGAGATTTTACACAATGGAACACCACCATGGACAGTCTTCTGTATCTGGCTTTTTTTCACTTAGCAAAATGGTTTTTGCAATACATCCTTGTACCAAAGGTACCTATCACTAGTTTCTTCCTTTTTTATTGCTGAATAGAATTTCACTGTATGGAGGTAGCACATCGTAATATTATATTATTTTAATATTATGATCAACAATTTGCTAATCAATGTCATTAATCCAACGCTTAAAATAGGCCAGATTTGTTCATTGAGGCTTCATTTGTGAATCTGTGAACTATGTTTTTCCATACCTTAAAAAATTATATGAATATCTAAGTGAATGCCATGTGCATAAATATTTTTTAAACACAACATTGAACCATTTGTACTTTTTGCTAATGCCTCTTTTTACTTGCTTTGACATAAAGAATAAACCAATGGACCTCTGTGTCCTATGGAAAAAATGTATAAACGTTATCTGTTATTGCTCTTAGAGGTAATGCTAATTAAAAAAAAATTTTTAATGTTTATTCATTTCTGACAGAGACAGAACGTGAGTGGGGGAGGGGCAGAGAGAGAGGGAGACACAGAATCCGAAGCTGACTCCAGACTCCGAGCTGTCAGCACAGAGCCGGACGCGGGGCTTGAACTCACAGACCACGAGATCATGACCTGAGCTGAAGTCAGACAACGAACTGAGCCACCCAGGTGCCCCAAGGTAATGCTAATTAATGTTGAATCACAAGTAAACAGTATTTTAAATAGAAAAAAATGATGTACATTGGTTAACATTTGTTAATTGATGCTTTTATGCCATCTGACGTTTAAAATTTGCTGGAAACTCCAGCAAACCCTTTATGCACATCAGTGGATTCACACAGGCCTTCTCATGGGGGATTTTGATTCCCACTCGATATGGGAGGCAATGAAGGGTCTAGATCACAGGGGTTTCATGATTTGTCTCAGACCATATTGGTAATAAATAGTAGCCATGGGCAGTTGGAGTCTAGCTACTCGGGAACAAAAAGCCCATGTATCTTTGTTGATTGAGATGTAGCTGACATATAACATTGTATAGGTTTTACCACTATGGTGGTAATTGTGTTGCAATATATAAATGTATCAAGTGTATATTTGATACATTTATATATTGCAACACGATTACCACCATAGTGCTAGCTAACACATGAATCCCATCACATAATTATCGTGTCTTTTCCAAGCAGTGAGAACAATTAAGATGTAATCTCTTAGCAACTCTGAAGTTCGAATACATCGTTACGGACCATGATCACAATGCTGTGCATTTCATCTCCAGAACTTACTTATCTACCAACTTTCTCACCTCCTGGTAACCACCATTCTGCCCTCAGTTTATATGAGTTTGGCCGAAGCATATGTTTTTAAACACAATGTTCATTGGCCTCCGGTCAATTGTGTGAGCTGGGGGCAGTCATATAAACAGAGTGTGGGTTAAACCAGCGGGTGAACAAGGTCGGCCTATGGAGATAAGTGAGCTCGTGGGGAGAACTCACCGAGACAGATGTCCTTTCCAGGTCGGAGGAATCTGCATGTGAGAGAAAGGAAAAAGAAATCAATTCTCAGATTGCAGGAGTCAGACTTACCCTTCCTATCCCACCATGCTCATGTGGTTTCTTCCCTTATCACTCACCCATAGCCTCCTGCTGGGGCAGTTTGAAATGGCTCGTTCTGAGAGACAGAAACACATTAAAGTGTGGGATATGAAGACTGGGGGAGAGGATAGGGTTTTGGAGAGAAAAAGAGAGTCACAGCACGGGTTGGACGGGAGTAGGAATCACAGACACACAAACAGGGTCTGTGAAAGGTGGGAGGGGGCACGAGATACGTCGAGTTTATCTACCTCTCGGTGGATTCTTCATGTGACAAATCTACAAAAAAACACATAATAATAATAATAATACAGGGAGGAATTTAGCTGATGAGAAAGTCCTTCACTTCACTCCCCTTCCCCAGTGTTTTCAATCGGTGCATCCCTGAACTCACCATGCTGGGTGCATCTGTTGATGAGGAAGACGGAGAGGAAGAGGAGCAAAATGGAGAGACAGCTGCAGGTGGCAGCAATGATGGACCTGGTGACTGGTGGGAGAGGAGCAGGTCACACAATCAGTTTGGCTGCCCGGACACCCTGATCTGCACGCGGCAGGACAGTCGTCAGCAGCTAGACAATCCGGCTTCTAAAGCCTCCAGCTGCTGCTTCCGAGCTGGACCTTCCGATGTCTTAGGGGAGTGAATCTGACTTTCCCTTTCCCCAAAGCGAGGATGGGAATAGTAGCTACTGACTGCACTGCATGGTGGGGGGCTGGGGGGGTAACCAGGTGGGCACTCCCAGAGAGGGCCTCGCCCAAGGGAAATTCCCAATCAGTGTGTCAGCCATATCAATAATAATGAAGATTTATGGGGCGCCCGGCTGGCTCACTTGGTTGAGCATCCGACTTCGGCGCAGGCCATGATCTCACAGTTCGTGGGTTCAAGCCCCGCGTCAGGCTCTGTGCTGACATCTCACAGCCTGGATCCTGCTTCAGATTCTGTGTCTCCCCCTCTCTCTGCCCCTCCTCTGCTCATGCTCTGTCTCTTTCTGTCTCTCAAAAATAAATATATGTTTAAAAAAAATTAAAGAAAAAAAAAAAAAGTCACACAGCCGGGATGGGCTTCAAGTCCTGGGATGTCTAACCCTTCAGGCCAGGCGGCCCCGGGTCCGGGCAGCTCTGTGCTGGCCACTGGGTGTGGAAACCCCAGAGAAGTGAGCTCACAGTCTGGGCAGATACGCGTTTCCCCACATAACGGCGATGCTGGCAGAGGCAAGTCCCATCAGACATGAATGGAAGTCCCAACTCTCTCCCAGTTCAAGGGTTGTTTAAATGTTATACACCCCTGGGATATTATTCAGAAAATCGTACCATGTGCAACAAAGCCTATGAAACCTGGAGGGCATTATGCTAAGGGACATGAACCAAAGGCAAACACTACATGATTGGATTCCACTTACACTTGGAATCTAAAAAATTAAAAAAAAAATTTTTTTTTTTAATTGAACTCATAGAAGCAGAGAGTAGATGGTTGCCAGGGGCTGAGGGCGGGGTAAGTGGGGAGAAGCTTCCAGTTAAAAGATGAATAAGGGTTCCTGGGTGGCTCAGTCGGTTAAGCATCTGACTTCAGCGTAGGTCATGAGTTCGAGCCCCGCGTCAGGCTCTCTGCTGACAGCTCAGAGCCTGGAACCCGCTTCAGATTCTGTGTCTCCCTCTCTCTCTGCCCCTCCCCCTCTCATGCTCTGTCTCTCTCTCTCTCTCTCTTTCTCAAAAATGAATAAACTTAAAAAAAAACTTAAAAAAAAAAGGAGTAAGAGTATAACAAGTTTTGAGAGAAATGCAGAGGTGACCCAGGATGTGTATAGTGATTATTCAAGTTCATAAAATACATTACTTTCCTTGGTATTCACTTTTTGGGGCAACGGGAATGCCAATCAGGAGAAATATGTTAATGCAAATTCGTAACTGTTTAAATCTAATATCTAACGTATACGCGTTTTAAGTTAAAATGGCACATGATAAGCAATTTTATTGCCAATCACATGAAGTTTTCCCTTTACGTGAGATCTTGAATTTACAATGAACGTTTCCTGGCTACCAGGAACATTATTTTTGAATTATCTAGATATGTCTTATTTCATTTTTTTTTAATTTTTTTTATGTTTATTTATTTTTGAGACAGAGAGAGACAGAGCATGAACAGGGGAGGGTCAGAGAGAGAGGGAGACACAGAATCGGAAACAGGCTCCAGGCTCTGAGCTGTCAGCACAGAGCCCAACGCTGGGCTTGAACTTACAGACCGTGAGATCATGACCTGAGCCGAAGTTGGACGCTTAACCAACTGAGCCACCCAGGTGCCCTATCCTAATTAAAAAAAAAAAAAAAAATATATATAAACATACAATTAAATATTTATTTTTTTTTGAGAGAGAGAGAGAGACAGAGAATGCGACGGGGGGGGGCAGAGAGAGAGGGAGACACAGAATCTGAAACAGGCTCCGGGCACCGAGCTGTCAGCACAGAGCCCGACGTGGGGCTCGAACCCACGAACCGCAAGATTGTGACCTGGGCTGAAGTCGGACGCTCAACCGACTGAGCCACCCAGGCGCCCCTAGATATGTCTTATTTCTAAGCAGAACCACACCAGTTAGCATTTTCACAGGAGGGTTCTCTTGCTGACTGAGGCTTACTAGAATCATCTTTCGTGTGGAATTTTTCCTCCAAAATGCCTACTATACAGAAGACCATAAGAACTGAATTTTTTTGTTTGATAGTACTTTTTTTTCAGTCTTTTAAATTCGGACAGAATTTGAACACATCGACTCTGTTTACACTCAAAAGAAGCGAATAAAAAGTACTTATAAAAGACAACATGGGGTGCCTGGGTGGCGCAGTTGGTTGGGCGTCTGCCTTCGGCTCAGGTCATGATCTCACGGTCCGTGAGTCCGAGCCCCACGTCGGGCTCTGTGCTGACAGCTCAGAGCCTGGAGCCTGCTTCGGATTCTGTGTCTCCCTCTCTCTCTGCCCCTCCCTGTCTCACACTCTGTCTCTCGCTCTCACAAAAATAAATATTAAAATTTTTTAAAAAGGTGAATAAATTCTGCACATGTAATGTATCGTATGGTGAAAGTAGTTGATACTCTATTGTATAATTGAAATTTGCTTAAAGAGATCTTAAGCATTCTTACTAAAAAAAAAAAAAAGTGAGTACGTGAGGGGCAGGTGCATTCATTCATTTGATGGGGGGATTCCTTTCACGGCGTACTTGTACTCCCAACCATCACGGGGCACACTTTAAATACCTTATTTTATTTCCTGATTACAGCTCCATAAAGATGGGGCCGGAAGGAGAGCGGTGGGGTGAGAATACCTGACTCACAGAGCTGGATAATGATGGAAGGTGCGAGTACTGGCTTTACAATGCTCAGTCTAGAACCTGACTCACCATGTAGGATAATGAGATCGCAGTGATAATGATTATTTTCTCCCCCGATATCCCGCCCACACCTGTCTCCCTCTGTAGCAGATGATGCTGATACTCCTCCTTCCCTGCTCCCCCAGATCCCTTTGCCGTTTTTATGCACTCTGGATCGTGGTTTCCTCCCTTAAGCCCTGGCTGCCCGTGTGTGCCACTTTCTCCATCTCCTGCACTTTCCCGTGGCATTGAGCAAAAGACACTCACTCGTGTTCTGTCCTTTTCTTCTCATGCCTTCTTCCCCCGTGCCCTCTACAATATCGTTTCCACGCTCGTACTTATGTGAGAGTCTGCTTCTAGCATCCCTGAATCCAACACACCCTCAAACACAGCAATCTATCACCGCATCACCAGGGACGTGAGACACAGGGCGGGAGCAGCCCTTCCCGGACTAGCAAGGCCCCGAATGGACGCAGAGAAGCTTCGACCTTCCTCTAGCCTAGATTTCTCTCCCACAGCAGCTCAGTAGAAATGAGAAGTAAACTGGGGCGCCTGGGTGGCGCAGTCGGTTAAGCGTCCGACTTCAGCCAGGTCACGATCTCACGGTCCGTGAGTTCGAGCCCCGCGTCGGGCTCTGGGCTGATGGCTCAGAGCCTGGAGCCTGTTTCTGATTCTGTGTCTCCCTCTCTCTCTGCCCCTCCCCCGTTCATGCTCTGTCTCTCTCTGTCCCAAAAATAAATAAACGTTGAAAAAAAAATTAAAAAAAAAATTTAAAAAAAAAAAGAAATGAGAAGTAAACTATTACAAGACTTTCCTCTTCCTATGGCCCCACACCCATCGATCTGAGCTCACCCTGAGATGTCCACATATCCTGGCCAAATTTCACATCCCTGTTTACAAGTTGCCAAAATAAACTACAAAGAGTGTCTGGTGTTGGTGTGAAGGAATCAGACGAGCAAAGGGATACAGCTTGACATGGGGCGTAAATAAAGTCACAGGCACAGAAGAGAAGACTGGCCTCCTTTGCGGGCTGGGGACATCCTGTCTGAGCTTAAAGGCTTTATTCTGTTTAGAATCATGGCGGTATAAATTTGAACTCAGAAAGCACATCTTAAGAAGACACCCACTAGGGTGTCTATAATAAAAGGAAGATAAGGGTTGGCAAGGATATGGAGCTATTGGAACCCACATGCATTACTGGTGGGAATGTAAAATGGGGCGGCCACGTTGGGAGATAACTTGGCCGTTTCTCAAAAAGCTAAATGCAGAGTCAACATACGCCCTTCCAATTCTCCCCATGGGTAGATACCGAAGAAAAATCGGGAGCGGGGACTCAAACAGGTACGTGCACACCAATGCTCAGGGTAGAATTATTGCGATACCAAAAAGGTATGGACAACCCAGATGTCCACCGTGGGGATGGGGAGAGACCACTTAACAGGCTGGCGATTTCATTTGGGGGTGATGAGAATGTTCTGGAATTGTATAGTGGCTGTGGCTGCACAGCCTTGCAAACATACTAAAATGCCACCGAGTCATATACTTCGAAAGGGTGAATTTAGGGAGTGTAGTTATGTATCAACCAAAAAGAAAGAAAACGCAAGAGCCGAAATCACCGTTTCTCTTCCTCTTTCCCCTCTGACACTTCCTGCTCTATTTCTGACCCTTTCATGCTCCTGGATGCTATCAGATTTCAGATCTCTCCAAGAAAACATTCCTGGCATGCATTATGGTCCTAAAGCTGGAGTAGAAATCATTTCCCAAGTCTGCTAATCCTGAATAAACACATTTTCAAAGACTATTACTTATTTTGCAAGGACATTTTGGGAGATACCTTTAAAAAAAAAAAAAAAAGCTGGTTATGTCAATGTCAACTCTAATGACAGCCCTGAACAATTTTGGCTCTTTGGAGTAGCTTATAGGGAGGTTACAAGTTGCAGAAATTAAAGATGAGTAAGCACCTAGTTGCCAATTTACATTATATATTTGGCCATTAAAATCTGGATGAGCTTCTGTTTTCATCCAAAGATGTCAAAAGCTCTAACTTTTACAGGCATCTCTGAGGATAGAATCTTAGCCAATTCTTCATGGCAAAGCAGCATCAGGGAAAAGTAACGAAATGTTCAGCTGTGTTTGAGAATTTAGAAGTTTTAGCAAGTCCTTTGGTCATACATATTCCCAAAGCACGTGGACTCCACAGCATAGGGATCGTGCTGCCCAAACCAGACACACAAGCTCATCCCCATTCTTCCCATAACTTCACCATAGTGTTTTCATTATGTAAAATGACAAACGATGCACCTCGTGCTGTCTTACTCATCAGATTTTTATGAACCCAGGAGGAGCTCAGGAGTCATTGCCCAAGAGAGGCAATCATCCTCCCAATCGCATTGAGAAATCATGCATCGAGATGCTTCTTGTGCCTTTTAATCAAAAAGGATCCCCTGTCTCATGAGGTGGGTATAATTTGGAAAAGCATTCTTCAATTTATCTTACCTTTTCCCCCTGGAGGGGCTCTGCGTTTATTGCGGTCA